GGACATTTAGGCCTGGGGGGGGGGGGAGACCGGGAGTCGAACCACCAACTTGCCCTACCTCGTAAGCCACAGCCACCCCCCCAGCGGTGATACTTGAATTGTGTTCTGTATACTGCAGTGTGTTCTTTTATGAAGAATAATCGGAATCGAATATCAATTTTCAAACATTTATTATCATAACTAAACAGACCATCGAATAAAGCAATTTACAGAGCTCTGGGTTCCATCTCTATCTGAAGCCCTGACCTCAACAGCGAAACCATTCAACTCGTCTTCAGGATCAGATGGATTTCTAATTACCTGTCTTAGGCTCCACCCTTTTATACCCAACTCACCTGGCAGAGAGACAGCTGGCTACAAATCCCCTATAACCAACCTCCATGAGGTGGACTTTAACTCTCCAGCCAGGCTCCTCTGCCTTCATAGCTAATTCTGTGTATTTCAGTTTCTCTTTCTCATAAGCTGTATCCACACTGTCTTCCCAGGAAACTGTTAGCTCAACATAATTCAGTCCGCTGTGCTTCTGACCAGTTTTTCAACCAAGGCGATGACTGTTGGATTTTAAATAAGCAAAATATATTTGTGGATGACCATACTACATCAGTGGTCCCCAACCTTTTTTGTACCAGGGACCGGTTTCATGCATGAAAATCTTTCTGCAGACCGGGTAGAGGCGCGGGGGTTCCAATAACAAAAACCTCTGTCAGTTCATAGTATGTCATCTGAATGCAACAATTACACTTTATATTAGGCAATTACAATAATTCTACACTATTATATCAACTCACCATAATTTCAGTGGGAGCCCTGGTTCTTGTTACCCTGCAACTAGAAAAAAATTCCAAGGGCTTATCTGTTAACGCAGGGTGTTTTGTTTCAATGGGGCAAAGCATTTTTGACGGTTTCATGGCTTCATTAGCTTGTCGGTCACTGCAAATTATGCATAGCGGGTGTGGAGCTGGTGTATCACCTGTTGCAATGAACCCGCAAATTAAGTACGAATCGTGGTATTTTCTTTTAAATGCAGCTTTCTTTTTGCTGGCAGTCTGTGACCCTTCTGCTGTCCCATCGTTTGCTCGTTCCTTCCCAAAAAACTCACCAGTGAATTTTGTTTTTGGCTCTCTTTTTTTTTTTTTAAGGGTTAGCTTGTGTCGCTGATGTGTGAAATGGCATGTCGTTTTTCAAAATAAGATCCGGAAGACCAATGAAAGAAAAAATAACTATAAATTTAACCACTAAATTTTTTTCTTTGCAGCCCAGTACCAAATGATCCACGGACCGGGGGTTGGGGACCCCTGTCTTAGAGGACCTCACAGTTTCATTGCTCAGACTGTTGTATTAATGGACTGATGCATCCTTTTGTTCTTTTCTCTTCCAGCAATGGAAAAACCACCTCACCTGGGAGGTGCAGAGGGTGATGAGGCAGGGTGTGGGTCTGGCCCATTTACCCCAGGAGCGAGTCATGGTGGCCCTTACTCTCACTCTGGTGAAGGGAGTGTGCGAACACGCACCACGACTGCTCAGAAACCTCTTCTGCGTAGCATTGCATTACATTTGCTCTTTAACACTTGGGTGACTTGTTTGCTGCAGGTTGAGGGGAAATAAGAGAAGGGTGTGCTGGAAGACAGCTGAATCTGAAACAGGCATCTGTTCCTCGTGACCACTCGACTGTGACAGGAGCGGTGTTGACTTAATAATAAGTCAAACTAAATTAAAGTTATAAGTTTACAGTCACATTTTGAAATTGGGAAATTTAAGGTTGAGTTCCTGACACTTGAAATTTTTCATTTATGTTCTGAATTGTACTGCTTCTATTTACTCTTGCTTCAAAGTGTATCTCCTCCTTATTTTATACTTGAAATACCTTAATTTTGTTGTTGTATACAGTTATTTTGCATTTGGCTTATATAGTACGTGTACAGGCATTGTGTTAAATAAAGTGTTTTCACAGGATTTAAGTTGATTGAAGTTGTCTTGAAATACTCTATTTTTATTAGTTTATTCTAGCTTAATCATTTTATTCTCATTTTAAATATTATGTTTTAGGAACCAAGGTATAAAATGTATAAACAGTTTCCCTTTCAAAGCAGGCATAATTTGAGTTGAGTATTGTAGTACTGAGGCACACATGGAAACATCCTGACTCTCTCAAAGACAGTGGTCTTTGTCCAGTGCCATATTATAACAGCTGTTCCTACATTTGTGTGGTGGTTTTTGTGGTGAGGACAGAACATGGTGCCTGACACATCTAACAACTCAACATGAGTTGTCTATAGGTAGGAGAACAAATTTTCCATGTTCTGTTGATTGTGTGAAGGGCCCAAAGGGCATTCCACAGTTCCTGTTATGTTTATTGGCTCACTAGTAACTGCCGAGATGTAGCTAGCTTGGTGATACACTCGTCCAAAGATGTCATGTTGTAGCAATACAAGGTTGCGTGTGTCTGTATAAACATTTGTTAGTCTGCAGCCAAATCTTTACAATGGCATCCTCTGTACACGTGAAACTGGACAAACAGGTTGGTGTGGCTCTGACTGGAGAACCCACTGTTCTAGTGACCTATTGACCATTTTGAAAAATGGTCACTGGGACATGTTCATTTGTCACTGGAAGGTTGTATGAATCTGGTATATTATAAGCAGCGGGGCAGTAATACAACCCCAAATCAGAAAAAGTTGGGACAAAGATGGGCTGATGAGGTATCACATCAAATAACGTGCTGCTGTATTGTTTTCAATGTAAAAGTGGACACAGATGATTTATACATCACTTTTTAGTTTTAATTTTACATACTGTCCCAACATTTTCTGATTTGGGGTTGTAGAGGAGCAGCAATAGAACTGAGGACTGAAGACACCAGGAAGAAACTGTGAAGTCAGGAAATTCACCTCAGAAAGAAAGGTGGTTTTTGACTGGACACATGCAGGTGCACATCCAGTAAAGTCATCCAAAAATACATTTTCATTATAAGGAAGACTGAGTTTATGGGCTGTAGTCATGTTCCTGTCTCTCTCCTTATCTGGAGTAATACTGCACACATTTGCATGGTAGGCATTAGCAGTGGCTGGCATTGTCCTGTTGAACTAATGCAACTAAAACAAAATGTAGTTTCCATAAGGACTTTCAAGGTATCTTCGAATAGATAAGACACTTAAAATTATGTTGTATACTTGGATTTACATACCGACAGTGACAAAATAATAAATCAGGACCAAGTATACAACTCACCAACTGCAGCTTAGGAAATATTCAAATAATCCATTCTTGGGCAAACTCTTTAATGTTTCAATTCACACAAAAACATTCTGCATGTAAAATGATACAAATATGGAACACAACTTTAAAATGCCTGTTTTGTGACAGATGTGATTTCAGGATGAAATAAAACTAAACTGCTTTAATTTTCCATAAAAATCATTTGGTTCATTTATCAGAGGAAGTATCAGAATAACCCATAACATTTAGAGGGTAAAACAAATAAATGCCACTTCTCCGCCTAGACAAAGCAAGAGAGGGCTAAAAACCTTAAGTGATGCAGCAACATTAACTGAACTTTGAGGTACTTTAACTAAGGGAGTGTTGTTGGTGAATTCCCCCCCATTGGTGGCACTGACTCGAATGGCACAGAGCAATCCAAACAGTAAAACCACAGACACACCAGGACACGGATCAAAGTCCACACAGTTTCCAGTCTAACAGATGATGGCTGAGTCTTAAGAATTTCAACAAAAAGTTGCAGATGAACCCCAAAAGACAGAAAAGAAGAAAAACAGAAAATGAGGAGTACAGTGGAGTGCAGCGTCTTCCTCTCTCTCTCTCCAGCCACAGTGAAGCAGTCAGGACTCACTGCAGTAAGGTTGTGGACGATGTGGGATTCTGGTTCGATGGGGGCATTTTCACAGGTTTTAAATGTTCAGATTTTTAAAAATATTTTATTCAGCCTCATTAGATAAATCCATTACATTTTGTAAGGAGAGTCCCAACTTGTATATACTTATACATGTATTTCTAACCTTTTGTAATTTGCATTCTCCTCCCCTGAGACAGATACTTCTCTATCTCCTCCTGTACCTTAAGGTAATGTATGCAATTACAGTGACTGCGGTCAACAGCAAAACCCCTCCATAAACCACCCCTGACAGCACTGATGCCTGATGGGGATACGCTGCAGGCTTCTCAACTGGGACCTCTGCAGGAGCCTGTGCAGCCTTTGAGAGCAGGGGTGCAGCCAGCGAGACATTCTCTAGTTTTGGCTGGGGAGGCACACTGATAGGCTCCGGCTCCTGTTCAGGTACAAGAGCTGGTTCTAAGGTGGCTTCAGACTCTGCTGGTGCTCTCAGGGTTTCCTTGGCTTGAGATGAGGGTGCCGCCTCAGCAGGCACTGTGGCAGTGACAGCTGGTTCTGGCTCAGGCTGTGGTTCTACTGCAGGAACAGATAAAGGAGCTGTAGGTGCTGGTTCAGCA